AAAAAGTAATGAGGTTTTGACACATTCTAGCACATGGATGAACCTTGAAGATATTATTATATGTGGAAAACTCAGGCACAAAAGGCCAAATATCATGATTCCATTTCTGTGAGGTATCTAGAATAGACAGATTTGTAGAGAGAATAGAATCGTGTGTTTTAGAGGTAGTTTATAAATATAGTAATAACTCTGACTGACACGCTTAGTGTAACAAGAAGTAAAGATGAACAGGACACAGTCCCACCTGTGAAAGAGGCTCATGTGAAGCAGACATGTGTATAAACAGTTGTACAATACCACAACTATTTAGTTATATGAACAAAGTTTGAATACAAGAATACAAGAATACAAGAATACAAGAATACAGAATACAATTCTGTTACCTGGTTATAGGGAACAGGGCAGGTTTCACAGTATATAGTGACATTTCAACAGTTTTAGAGGTAAGAAATATTTCCTCAGATGGACCACAGCAGGGAAAGAAATGGAGCGAGAATGTTAAGGTGTTTTCAGTTGTAAAAGGAGTCATAGAGATGTAAAGATACATGGTATCATCAGGAAATGGAGCTTAGGACAGTATGGCCAGAACATAGGCTAACATGGGGGAACAGGGGATTATCATAGCACAGAGAACTGTAGATAAGGGCCAGCTTGTGGAGGATTTTAGACTGTGAATCAGTGAAAAGGCATTTGGATTTTATTCTTAGTTAACTAGGATTCTGTCAAAGGTTATCAGCAAGGGAGGGATGTGGTCATTTCTGCATTTGAAAAAGAAATGTGGGGGCGCCTGGGTGTCTCAGTCAGTTAAGCATCCAACTTTGGCTCAGGTCATGCTCTCACAGTTCATAAGTTCCAGCCCCGAGTCAGGCTCTGTGCTGACAGCTCGGAGCCTGGACTCTGCCTCAGACTCTGCTGTGTCTCCGTCTCTCTCTGCCACTCCCCTGCTCACGCTGTCTCTCTCTGTCTCTCAAAAATAAATAAATGTAGAAAAAAAAAGAAAAAAAAAAGAAAAAGAAATGTGTTTGTAGTAGGGAGAATGGCTTGAGTAAAACTGGAATTAGGAAATATTTAGAAGACTATTAAATTGGTCATGTTAAAATATAATAAGCTCCTGAAGTTAGAGACTCTTTCGAAGGTGAACTGACTAGGTGATTCACAGGGTTAAGGGTGAAGAGTGATTCTGACATGCACACATCTCAACTGTAATCTGAAGAAAAATGCCTCAGAAAGCAGTGTAGTGTATTTCGTACACCTTTACTTTTGGAAGAAGGTGACTTCAGAATTGTCTCCCCCCCTCCCCAGATATATAGATAAAATTCTAGGAGTGTGACATTGGAATGAAGATTTTTTTCTGCCTTAAAGAGGGCTAGGACATCTTCTGAATTTTGTCTGCTTTTAGATTTAAGCTACATACCAGGATAGTCAAGTAGGATAAAGTTTTCTCATAGTGTGCACTGTTGAATCAGATAAATTGGATCAGAAGCAGAACGGAAAATGTCCTTACAAAATATAGCCTGTCTTATGTTCATGACTCCATATTCCCACCTTGGGTTCTGCACCAGTTCTTTAAAAGTATGCCTTTCTGCAAAGGCATAATTTCAGCACAACCACATATGTACACAGCTGTCCAATTGCAGGGACAATGAAACACCAGAGACCAGAGGCTTTGCAATGTACACAAACGTACATTATAAGTTAATAGGTTAATAAAACTCTAAAACTGAAGTCAAAGAATACTGCATGGTAGTTATTGCTAAAAGCAGTATGTGTTTCTCTAAAATTCAATGTGATCCTCTTTCATAAAAATGAAATAAAAGAATATCAACACAATATTTTCAAGCAACTAATTTCTCCCCTCCTCTACCTCCAATAATTCACTGAAAGTCATTTAAGTAAGGTGCAGCCTTTAGGTTACTGAGTAGAAAATGGTTCTTTTTTGTTCTTATTGTCATCATATTTTGGTGAAATCTGAATCCTGTGCCCAATATTCTGCTACACTATTGACTCCTGTTTTCCACATTCAGAAGCTGATTTTAGTCCTCATTATTCTTGACAGAATTTAACCTTTTGAAAAAATTTTCTTCCTCATCTGACTCTCTAATACCTTTCTTTTCTACATGCTCCTTGATGGTTCCTTCTCTCATCTTTGTCATTTACAATTTATTTTTCCCTTCTATATGTTGGAACTTTCCAAAGGTTGTTCTATTCTTACCATTGTCTTCTTTGATTTTCTTCAAAATCTATTACTACCTCCTTTTTGCTGAATATTCCTTAGGAGGTGAGGTTTGTCTCTGCTTCTAAGCCATTGCACACGTTATTGCCCTTTCCTTAAAAAGGATATCACATTATAGTGATATATGCTCATTTTTCAGATTTTAGTCCTTTGGGACATCTTTCCTTATGAAGCTGGAAACCTTTCCCATGTATTATAGAGCATCCTGTGCTCCCTTTACAATAGCCCCCATGTTATAGCGTTTATCTATCTTTGTATCTATCTATCTATCTATCTATCTATCTATCTATCTATCTATCACGTACCTACCTACCTACCTATCATCTATCTATTTATCTGTCTGTCTATCATCTATCACCTGTCATCTAACTATCTATCTATATCTTGCAGTGATTCTCAGAACCGGAACCCCAAGCCAGTAGCACATCACTGTCACCAGGGAACTTGGAAAGGCGAAATCTGAGGCCCCAAAGCACATCATGTGAATCAGAAACTCTAGGGTTTGGCTCAGGAATTTGTATTTTAACAAGGTCTCCAGGTGATTCTGATACAGGCTAATGGCTGAGAATCACTGGTATGTTGCAATTGCCTGGCTTTGGGCTGATTTCCCTACTAGATTATGAACTGTTTTAGAACCTGTGGTGGAATCTTTTTGATTGTGAGTTCAGTATCCAGTGTAGAATCTGAATCATTGCTGCTATATATAAAACTACTTTGTTTCAATGCATGGACAAATAAATGAGTAAATGAATGACTACTTTTTTTATGAGCTCCAATTCCATAGCTCAGGTATGGAGATTTGTATTGGAGGGCTGGGTCACTTCAATGTCAATATCTCTAATAGGAAAGTTGACATCTAATACTCCTCATTAACACTGTCCTCCAAAACAACTGCACACATTTGCTTCTATAACCCTGACTGACTTTTTGGCTCTCTGACTTCTCCTTTTCCATCAATACTAAAATCATTTTCCACGCTACTGATAGAAAAACCTTAATTGTCATCTTTCTTTGATGAATAACTTCAAAAAAATAAAAAAGAATTCCATTTATTCTGAGTATAAAACTAAAACATATTCACCATTAAAAAATCTGAAAAACTCAGTTACACACACAAATAAAATAAAAAGCACTGGAAATTCCATACCTCTGAAAGAACCATTATTAATTGATGCATGTATTCATTTAACTTTTATTTCTATCATGTTTGCATTTCAGTGTTTGCTCTGGAGCATAATATTTTGTAATCTACTGTTATTGTGCTATTTTGGATGTATTGTCCACAGATTTCCTAATGGCTGTATGATACTTTTGGCAATAATTTGATGTATCCTCATCCTTCCTTAATTAATTGGAAGTTTTGTCAAAACCTTTTCATTACCGCCACCCTTGCAGTCCAGGCTCTGTCTTGCTCCTGTAACCTATTGCAGTAGCCAACTATGCCAGATTAATTTCTCTACAGTTTAGTTCTGAGGCACCTGAGGGGCTCAGTTGGTTAAGCTTCTGGCTCTTGGGTTTGGCTCAAGTAATGATATCATGGGTTGTGGGTTCCAGCCCCACATCCGGCTCCCTGCTGACAGTGTGGAGCCTGTTTGGGATCCTTTCCCTCTCTCTCTCTCAAAATAGATAAATAAATCTTAAAAAAGTGATGAAGTTTATTTCTGAGCAAATTGCTCAAAAGTCAAAGAGACTCTCCACTGCCTTCCAAATAAGGCCAGGTCCTGAACAGGACTATCAAAGATTCCTGTTGATTTCTTTTGCATACCCAGGCTCTCGGTGAGACTGCTCACCATTTTCACGGCATTTCCTCCATTTTTCCACCTTTTGAATTTTGATACTTCTGTGTCCTGTCCCATCATTCTTTTCCAATAGCGATTTTACTCAACTAGCCACTTCAGTGTGAGACCTCGCTAAAATCACAAACTTCCTGCTTTCACGACCAGTCCACTCCTTTTCTCCTTTCTTTGGTCTATTTTTTTTTTTCCTCCTTGGTTCTTATAACCAGGTAACAGACCATATATTTCACTTACTTAACTTGCTAATTGCCTCTGTGCTTACCTGTAATAAAAGCTCCATGAAGGCAATGATTTTGCTTCTGTCTTATTTATTGCCATATCCCTAAAATCTAGAACAATGCTTAATACATAAAAGACATTCAGAATATATTTGAAATAATGAATGAATGAATGAATGAACTAATGAGTTAGTTAATAATGAATATTTACTGGCAAAATTCTGCAAGACCTCAAGGAAGTCAAAGATCTTATTCCAGTGCTTTGCAAATAGTTGCAAACATTCCCTACTGAGTTGTGCAGTGTGAATCCAAATGACCAGTTAACATGTCTCTCTTCCCTGAAGACTTTCTTTAGGACTTCTGCTGAAGGTGATCTCTCAGCTTTCTAAAGACTATTGACCATTAGTTGTGGTTATGATATGTATTGCATACTGAATTGAGTTATGCTTATATGTTGCCCTTCCCACTGAGTAATAGAGAAGCTCCTTTAAGGCAGATACCAATTATCTTCGTTATCTCTTGCAATTCTTAGTGCATTGACAATAAGTAGTTCTAAAATTAATTAAACTATTGCCGCAAATAAAATTAAAGTATTACCAAAAGCAAGGAGGGAGTTATACACGAGGGCATTTTACCATTGTCCTTGTTAAAGATGTATTTGTCTATTTTTCTTTTTTTAAAGAATACCCATTATCTGCACACTGGTTACTATCTCCAAAGAAATTACCATGTGAACATTCTCCATCTTTGCAGATCATTAATGCTGCACTTGCTTTGGCTGCAAGACCCAAAAGTCAAGTGGTCAAAAAAAACATGGAAATGTACAAGCACACATGGGAGAATCATATCCACGTCCTCACCGAAGCTGTAGATGACATCACAAGCATTGATGACTTCCTCGCTGTATCTGGTATGTTTTAAATCTTTTAATTTATACGTTTGCTCTTGTCAGTTTTCTGAAGCAGGGTAATTCTGAATATAATTAATTTTATGCAATATAATGAGACTCTATTTATTTATTTATTTATTTATTTATTTATTTCAACGTTTATTTATTTTTGGGACAGAGAGAGACAGAGCATGAATGGGGGAGGGGCAAGAGAGAGGGAGACACAGAATCGGAAACAGGCTCCAGGCTCTGAGCCATCAGCCCAGACCCCGATGCGGGGCTCGAACTCACGGACCGCGAGATCGTGACCTGGCTGAAGTCGGACGCTTAACCGACTGCGCCACCCAGGCGCCCCTATGAGACTCTTTTTAATGATCATCTTTCTCGAAGCAAAGTGCTGCTATGTGTGGTCTACTCTAAGATAATGAGCCTCATGCCTGGTAATCCTTACAATTCAACAATTTACACTGTGTCTCTAAAACAAACTCTTATTCATGGACAAAGCATAATTGAAAATAGTAGCTGCAATTCTTAGGCATTTTCTGGCTTTTCGAATAAAAAATCATCTCCCCCCTGTAGTATATTTACATCTTTTTCTCTCTCTTTTATTATATGAAATTTATTGTCAAATTAGTTTCCATACAACACCCAGTGCTCATCCCAAAAGGTGCCCTCTTCAATGCCCATATATATATATGTGTATA